CGGGGTAAGAACGGCCAACAGGGGTCAGCGGCTGCGATCATTCCAGTGAGAGGCGGCTCTGGCCACCCTCCGGCCACTGGTGAGGTTGTGCGGTCAGCATCACCACTGAAGCTGGTACCGTGGGCCATGTGGCCTGGCCAGGGGCACAGCGAAGACGGGTCCCGGCCTGTGGGTTAGGAGGGAGGAAGAAGTTGGGAGATGGGAGACCGCACCCCCCAACGAAGGAGAAGCAAGTCCAGAGAGAGGGCGGGAAGGGTGGAAGGGAAGCGACGGTGGCCGGGGAAATGATTTCAGGATGCGGAACCTGGAGGAGGAGGGAGCGCCTAGAGAAGCCCAGGCCCTCAGATAAAGTCCGAGGCTGGCATCAGACCTCGGCGAGAGCCTCCAGCAGGCGGCCGTCTCCAGATGCCCTGCCCTCCGGCAGTTCCTTGCTCTTAAACTCCCCTGTCCTCCTGCGGCCAGAGAACCTCCCGCAGGCCCCCACCCCCACCTCCCAGTCCTCTTCAGGACAGCAGAGGAAGGAGGGCTATTTCCCCAGCGCCTTGCACCCCAGGGCTGCCAGAGTGGGGGTGCTCCTTCCTACCTCCCTTGCCATCACAGTGCATCAGCCCGGCTCAGGAGGCCTGGCTCCCCTGACCCTCCACGGAGCCAGAGCCCGTGCCCCATCAGGTGTTACCTGCAGGCCGCTGCCTCCCTGGAGTACGGGGGTTCTTGCACGGCCTGCCAGGGGTGCAGGGAGGTCGTGGTGCGCTCAGAGCGGGCTCACTCCTGAGGTGGCCCGCTCCTCCCTCACTGGGGCTGCTGGGGGGGGGCAGCTTCTCCTGATCCTTTTTGGAATCAGGAAAGACGGAAAGACGAGGGAGAGGCCTCTAAACAGGGCACCCTCCATTCGGCACCTGCCAGGCCCTGCCTTGACCCAGATCCGCGGGCGTGTCTGAGGAGCGCGGGTCTCCGTGTTCTTGGCGAGGGACAGTCGCTGATTGTCTCCGTTAATCCCACCTGCTTTCCTGGAGGAGGGGAAAGATCCTGACGTGGGGGCCAGGGAGCCGTGGTCCCCAGGGGGCTCTCCCACGGGGGAGACCACCAAGGGAAATGTGCACGGGGCCCTCAGACTCCAGTGACGTGGCCCAGCCTGCTGAAAGGTGGGCCCAGAGGCGGGGGTTGAATCCCAACCCCAACAATTCGAAAGGTGACGTCCAGGCACCTCCGAGTGCAGCCTGATTGGAAATGCCTTTTCAGGGGTGACCGGGTTAAAACAAGACGGGTTCCCTGATGCAAGATGACTGCCATCCCGACGCAAATGTGGGCAGGGAGACTCACATAGGTGGCGTGAAGGCCAGGGGGAGACGCCCAGGAGGGGCGTCAAGGGGCCATCCTGTCAAGGGGCCATCCTGGCAGACACCTGACCTCGGGTTTCCAGCCTCCAGCACTAAGAGATGACACATTCCTGTCGCTGAAGCCACCCACTGGCGGGTCCCCACGGAGACGCCCCTCCGGTCATGGCTATGACGGGGGAGGCTTCCTCAGGCCTCCAGGCTGTGCCCTCGGTCCCACCTTCCAGTCTCCCAGGTAAGCCCGCCCCACACACAGGTACACTGACACCTGCACGCGTACAGGCGACTCGGTGCCTGCGCCCAAGGGAGTTGTCCCTTCGCATTACGGTGCCTCCGGGCAGGCGGTTAAAAGGACACGAGGACTCGAGGTGGAGGGGAGCGTGGCCGCAACCGGGGAGCGGCGTGGGAGGGTGTCAGGGAGAGCAGGGAACAGCCCTATAAGCGCCGAGGAGCAGGGAGCGATGAGGCCCCGGCCAGCTGTCCCTCCCACGCCTGGGCTGTCGCCCGCGCAACACGCGTGTTTGACCATGAGCCCCTCGGGGGACACGGCGCGGGCCTGCAGTGCGGTCAGCGCCCAGGTCTGTTCTGAGAATGTGGGCTGAAGTCAGCCTCCGGAGGGGTGCAGCGAAGAAGGAGGGACACGCGCCGCCCTCCCCAGCCCCCATTCTCAGCTCCGCAACGTTCTCTGGAGAGGAAAATGAGGGGGCGCTGGGCTGCCGGGAAACTGGGGTGCTGAGAGCAGGAGGAACCGTGAAGGTGTGGCCGGGGTGCTCAGGAAGGGGCTGGGCCGTGACCCCGGGCCCCTGGGGAGGGAGGGGGTGCTGCCACAGGTGAGCCCACTTGGGGGCTCCAGATGATTTTCTTTTAAAAAATGTGTAATTTATTTTCACGGAGAAGGAAAGAGTCAGAGGAACCCGCCTCCTCCTGGCTGAGAGGCAACCAAGACCCCCCCCTCACCCCCCGCCCCTGTACCCTGCTAATGGGCTGCATCCTCTTCCCCTCCGGGACGGATTCATTTCTTGCTCTTCTCTGAATCTCACTCCCCACCGCCTGGTCCGCGTGCGCCTCGTGTGCCTGTGTGGGCACCTGTGCCTGTGCGGCGAGGGGCCTGGCCTCCCGGGGACGACAGAGGCCGACACTGCACCTGCTCCCGAGGGTCGGGGCCACAGCAGCCCTTAGGGTCTTCGGGAGACTCACCCCAGCTGTCCCCAGTGTCGCTCCAGGAATCCCCAGGCTGCCCCAGCTACCCTGCTGGAGACAGAGCAGGAGCCTCCTGCACGGCCCCCAGCACCCACACGGGGGGCACACGGGCACATGGCCCCCCGTGCCCGTGGCTGGCTGCTCAGTTGCTGCCCAGACATAGCGGAGCCACAGTCCCAGGCTGGCCGAGGCATCCGTAAACCAGAAGGGTGACAGCAGCACCCGCACCAAGCCCGGGAGCAGCTGGGCACCCACCAGGACACCCAGAATCTCCCCCAGGGGCACTGGGCACCTCTGCAGGCGATTTCGGTTGTCACAAGGGGGGTCCTGGCGTCTCGTAGGTGGAGGCCACGGAAGCTGCTCGCTGCCCGCCAATGCACGGGGCAGCCCCACCCCAAAGGACGATGCAGCCCCAAAGTCAGCAGTGAAAGTGGATCCCTGCCTGGAGCCGGGGGCCCAGACCGTGGGGGGCCCCGCTGTACCGGCCTCACTGCACCCCCCACCCCAAACTCAACGAGGGAGGGTCAGGGGAAGGGTCACAAGCCTGCGGTCACGCAGCAGGCGCCGGAGGGCTGCAGGGCAGGGACAGCCGGTCGGGGCCGGTTTGCTCGGTCTGCGGGGATCAGGTTGCAGGGGTGCTGGGCAGAGGGGTGGGGGCGGGAGCCTGGCTCGGGTTGGCCGGGGGGCCGGGGGCGGGCGCGCTCGGGGAGTGACGTGGGGGCGTCCGAGGCCGGGTCTCCACGCCCCCCGCGGGCTGCCCCAGGGTTGGGGGGCGGAGGGGGTGTCTGGTGCGGCCCGGGGGTGCTGTGGCCGGCGCCCTCCCCTCTGCCCTGCGCCCTGGAGGGCTCCACGGGCCGCCGCCGCTGTCAGTCAAGGGCGGAGCAGCAGCTGCTGTGCCAGTCAGGATAGGGCGCGCGGGCCCCCGGGTCCGACGTGGGGAGCTGGAGCGGCCAGCCCAGAGCAGATGGTTCGGGGGACCCCGGCTTATCTGGACGTAGCCAAGCCGGGCGCCCAGGGGGCTGGAGCCGGGCGCACCCGCATCCCTCAGCTCAAGGGGCTTGGACCTGGAGCCCACGTGGCTGGGCCCACCCTCTGCACAGCCCTGGGGCTTGGGGTTCTTTCAATTGCGGGGACCCCAACTTCAGAGCTTAGGCGGAGCTGGAAGCTCAGGGTTCATTCCTACAGATGAGCAAACTGAGGGCTGCTGCCCAAGGTCGAGAAGTCAGTTAAGTATGAGAACCTGAGAACCAGGATGACAGGAAAGGTGTGTTTTTGGGGGGGTTGGTTGCGGGGCTGGCACCCTGCCAAGGTCAGCGATTGACCACATCCCAGCCACCACCCCCTGCTTCAGCCCTGGCCACGGAGGGGGTTAGACTGAGCCCAGAAGGGCTGGGCCAGACCAGGCGCAGCTCCCAGTCAGTAGACCTTTGCCATGAGGGGGATGCCCCTGCACCCCAGCTCTTAGCTGCTTCGCCTGATCGCCAAGCCCTGCCGTGAGGGCACAGCCACGGGCAGACCCTGTCCTTAGCACCCCCTTCCAGCCCAGCAACCTGCCATCCTCCTGCTCTGGGGGTGCAGTGTGTCAGGGCTGGGGGAGTGGTGACGACAGGGACATGTGGCCCGGAGACGAGAGACCCGCGTCTGGCAGGAGCACGGCACTGGCTCTGGGGGCTCTGACGTGACTGTGACCTCATGAGGTGACTGTGAGGAGCTGGAACATTAAATTTGAGCCCTGGGTGTTAGTACTTCCCTTGTATAGATGAGGAAACAGAGGCAAGGTCAAGAGAGCCGCCCAAGGTCACGGAGCTGGCGGCAGGAGGCAGCATCGAACCCCTGGCGGCAACTCCTGCTCGGTTCCCTCTGCAGAGCTGCCTCCAGCTGCCAGGGCCGAGGCTGTCTGGTCCCCAACTCCTCCGAGCGTCCTCGGTCCCTCTCTCAGTCACCAGCCCCCAAGGAGGGCCTGCCAGTGCCCTCTTCAAGGGGACGGAGGTGAGAGCCGCGCCCTGCGCCCAGGGAGGATGAGGTCAGAGCTGGCATCTCAGAGCCGGCGCAGATGCTGCAAATCCACGTGGCTGCCGTGAGCGGGCTGCAGCTTCCGGAGGGCTGCGTGGGGCCCACAGACAGGGAAGGCCGGTTGCCCACACCTGCGTGCGTGCCTGACCTCAGCACTCCCCCTGGGATGAGAGCGCGTGCTGGGCTTGGGGAGACCAGCCAGAGAGCTGGGGGGCCCTCCTTCCCAGCTGCGCAACCTCAGGCACATCACTCAGGCGTCTGTTTCTCGTTCTTCTATGAGCTGGGGGTGCCCAAACAAGAGTGTGAGCCATACGTGTGAACTGAAGGCTGTGCCCAGCGCTTGCCAGGCCTCCCCAGAACCAAGCGAGGTACCGACCAGCACCAGGCCTCCGTGTGCCCTTTCACAAGGTGAGCCTCCTACCCAGCCCCACCCCCACCAGCATACAGGGGTCCACCTGTCTCCTGCCCCTCCCTCCTGTACCCCCAGATCTTGGAGCCTGGGGAGCACTAGGCTTGGGCTTGGCTGAGACTCAATCCCCAGCCAAGAAAAGTTTAGAATCAATCAGCCTTTGTTGGTTTAGACCGCAAGGAATGTAGGATGAAAATATATGTTGCTAAATTGCAAAAAAAAATCGTAATGAGCACACAGGGGTTCAGTGGTTGTAATTCCTCACAAACAGAGGAGGTCGTTTAATTCTGAGCAATTGCATCCCAAACTACCCTGCTTCCAGCTACATGATTGGACGGAGTGGGTGTGAAATTTACCGAGCTGTTGGCCGCAGGTTTCCTGCAGCAGGTTCTGGTTACTCAAGTTCTCTTCCATCCGAGGCTGTCTGGGATGCAGCGGGGCCAGGGACAAGGCACCTCTTTCCTCCTAAAGGCACGTCTACCTTCCCCCCGGGCCTGAGACCTGAGCAAGCAGGGCCCGGGGGGACTCCCGAGGCCCCGGATGCCTGCATCTGTCAGGAGCCCACCCTCCCCAAGCCTCACCCACAGACCCCAGAGGACTCAGGCTGCTCCCCATGCTCCCTGGAGCTGCCAGGACTCACAAGTCTTCACCTCGAAAGGCCTGACTTTTTACTCAGTCAGGGAACCCCCCTGCCTAGGTCAAGGGAAGTCTATACCACGGGCAGACGTCCATCCGGGGACATAATACTCCATGCGTGGAACTGAGCAACCACCAGTACGACAGATTGGTGAATGGGGGGCCTCACCCTTGGGGGTGCAGTCCTACTCGCTACAGGGGCTCTGGATAAATACTCAGTGACAAAGGCACAGGCTGCTGGAGGAGGGCGCACTGCAGAGGGTAGGCAGGGCTGCAGGGCCAGGGTCGGCCCAGCCCAGCCCTACTGTTCTCCCCAGCCTCATCTCAGCACCCAGAGGTGATGCTAGGCTGAGCTGAGCTCCAGGGGCACACCTGGGGGAGGGGGGAACCCTGGGACAAGCCTGCTGTACGGTACCCCAAGGCAGGTCAAAGCCAGGGGGACCAGAGTCTGGAGTAGTACACATCTCTGTCCTTGGTGCCAGCATCAGGCAGTTCCCCTAGGAAGCCCTCTGGCTTCCTTGGGGAGGCCATCAGCACCCTCTGGAGCAGTCGTGGGGGAGGGCGGCAGTGCCAGCACACTGAGATCGTGCCGGTGAGGTAGAAACCTGCCCATCTGCCCATGAGGGAATAAAACAAGCTTCAGTCCTGATCCCACTCATCTAAGGGGCCCCCCAAGTCCCCTCAATCCATCTGAGCCAGGAATCTCAGCTGGTCCCTGAGACTGCAGCCCCCACCCCACGTGGTCCTCGGTGGACCCAGTTTGTTGGGGGGGCGCAGGCATGGGGTCTGGGGCCAAGGGTGTGCTGAAGCACCGAGGGGCTCGGCTCCAGGCCCGCAGAGGTGCGTCTGTCTGTCTCCAGTGGGGAGGCCCTCCACGCCCCGGGTGGGGGCCGGAGGCCCAGGGGGCAGGGCAGGGCCAGCTGCTGCCGTAGCCCGGCTCCAAAGATGAAGGCCAGTCACCGAGGCGCAGAGCGGGTCACGCTGACACCGGACGCTAACAAGATGGGCAGGAGTGCCCGTGGCATGAAGGCAGCTGACAGCCATCTGGGGAGCCACAGCCGGGGGACACAGGGCTGTGACTTGGGGGTACAGTGAGGGGAGGGCTGGGCAGCAACGGGGACCCCTAAGAGCCCCAGCCACAGGCCTGGGTTCCGCAGAGCCCCCCATTCAGTCCACTGCTCCAGGTCGGTGGCCTCTGGTCCCTCCCAGCTCCAGTGACCAGCACGGGAAAGGTGCTGGGCCCTGCCCAGCCTGGACAGAGGGATGAGGACATCAGGACGACGTGCGGTCCGGGGAGGAGGGCGTCTGTCTACCATCTTGTGTTATTTTGCGGGGACTGAGCCTAAAGCAACCAGAAAGAACAAGAGTCAAAGGGGACCCTCGTGCTCAGGGCCCCAGCACCGGCTTTTACTAAGTGAGTCCCCGGGGCCTGGTGGGCGCTGACACAGGAGAAATTTCGGAAGCGCTTTGGATTTCTCTTCCATCATTCTCTCCTTCCCGGCAGAAACACGTTCGAGACAACAGGTGTTGGAAAACAGCTTTGCCGGGAGGGGCTGGCTTGGCAGCCTTGAGCCAATGTCCTAGGACCAGGCCACTGCTGCCAGGCCACATGCAGGCCACAGGGCCTGCTGGCCGCTCCTGTGGCCACTTTTAGTGGCCGGATGGGCTCAGCCTGCTTACCTTCCAGAGGGGCAGAGAGCCTCGCGGCTGACTCACCCCAGGGTCCCATCTAACCCTAAAATGGTACAATTCTGGGGTTTTAACTCTGGAAAGGGGAGAAAACACACTCCTGTCCACCTGCTGGGACTGAAATACTCGGATGCAGGAAGGCATTGTCCGTCCTAAAGGACTAAGTGGTGGACATCGTAAGAACTGCCCAGGAATGACACTGCCCGATCCTGTCCACCTTTGTGAATCGCTTTGTGAGCAAGTTCCGGCCCTCTCCAAGCCGTGACCTAGCAGTGTGGAGCAGAGGGGCCCGGGGCCTTCAACGCCATCCCCCCTAAGAGGGACTGAAGCCCAGACACGCCCCCTCACACGCCCTTTCAGAATAGCCTGCTGCGCCCCCACCTCCGGCCAGGGGAGGGGTCCCAGAGGAAAGCTGCCCAGGTTCAGACGGGCCCAGACAGTGGCTACATCTAGACGGGAGCCAGGCCCACATGCTCATCCTGACCACAACAGCACAGCCTCGGCTCAGGAGCCCTTCCCCGGGGAGCAGCAACAGCCCAGAGTGAGCAGGCTGCAGGCTAGCAGAAAGAGGAACCAGGCCCAGGCCCCAGGGGAGCAGTTCTTCAGGACCCAGAAGCCCAAGGTCAGAGACACATTCCCAGAGGAAGGTTAATAAAGCAGAAACGTGTTTATTAGGCCCCCTTGGTCCTCACAGAGGAGCAAGACCCAGGACACGCGCCTTCAAAATCTCGAGGTTGCAGGGAGCTCTCCAGAGCAGCCAGAGAGCCAGGCCTAACCGGCCGCCACCCCAAGAACAACACTATTTGGCTGGAGCAGGACCCCTGGAGGTGACCCTGATATGAAGCGGGGCTGGCTCCTCGCCTCCACAAACACTGAGCAGTGGGTGGAGGGCCCCGGGACACCCGTCCAAACACTGGCAGACAGAGGGCCTCATGGTCTGAGGCACTAGTGCCCTGAGCCAGCCAGGGGCAGGGGGAGGCAGGGGGCGGTCCCCGGGCCCTCCCCCCAGATATGCCCGCCTCCTCCTGGCGCCTCAGTCCCACACGTAGGGGTTTCTAAAGACCTGAGAGTCCGGGCCGTCTTTGGGCACGGTGGCCGCCTGCTGGCCCTGGGCCGCATACACGTCCTCGGCCCGCAGCGTGGAGCTGGCGCTGCCCATCACCTGGCTGTTGGCGGTGGCCCGTGGGAGGATGACGTCGTAAGCTCCTTCGGCCTGGAAGGAAGAACAGGCGGTCTCACAGCCAGGTTCCGCCGGGCGGATGCACAAACACTCGCTTCCTGCAGGCCTGTGGCTGCCAGCTCCCCCCTCCTCGCCGCCCCCCAGCCGGGCCCCAGGGCTCCTCGAGGGATGACTCCACTTCTGGAAACGGGCAGCTGGCCTCTAGCCTCCAGGCCCTTATCTCACCCGGCAGAGGGTCAGGCCTCTGGTCACCCCCCGGGATCCCGGGGCTGGCCCTTGGCAGAGAATCTTCTTCTCAAGCCCCTTTCTGCTCCCCAAACCTGAGCACCTCACTCAGCTGGTAACATCCTCAGGCTTCCTCCCTCCAGAGCCTCCCCCAGGTTCCCCAAATGGCCCCACAGCTGCGGCGGCCTGACCCCTCTGTTGGGACCGAGAGGGGAGTAATCCCGGCTGGCCAGTCTGATGTGGAGACTTAAAACCCAAATGGCCTGGGGTTTGAGTTTTAAGTTTTGAGGCTGAGAAAACCCAAGTGCTCTGCTGCAGCCTGTGAGAGCTGCGAGTTCCTGTTCCAGTAAGAGTCAGAGTCCCGAGGCACCCACCATCCCAGCGCCCGCCCGGGAGGAACTCCCAGCCTCCTGCCCCGGCGCAGGGTCTGCAGCTTTCTCTCCCGTCCTGGCCGATTCCAGGTTCTCAAAGAGAACAGACACGGGAGGTGCTAGCCACCGGCTTGGCTCTGTGGCCCAAGATCAGGTGATGATGCCCCCGGGGGCTCGGGCCACATCTGAGAGGCGCTGTGTGATAAAATGGCTTTGTCCAGATCCTCCTGCCGGGAGCAGGTGAGCAGGTGAGCAGGGGTGGCCAGAGTGGCAGCTACTGAGCACTGGGCCTGTGGCTGGCGGGGCCCTGGTGCACAGACCGCTCCTGTCCTTCGGGGCTCCTGGCCCACCCGCTCCCGCCCCTGGACTGCTCTCCCTGCCTGGCAGGCTCCGGCTCAGGGAGAGGGAGACGCATCAGCTAGATTCGCCTCCCCCGGAGCTGGGGATGAGAACATCACCCTGCTGACCTCCCCGGTTTCCTGTTCCCAGCGTCCTGCCAGGGCAGGTCACTGACCTCTCCCCGCAGAGACTGTCGGCCCAGAGGAGGAATACATAGGGAGTGAGGCTACCCCCGCCTTCCTGTCCCCCCTCCTCCTGTGGCTAATGGAGCATCTGGTTCCCAGAACCCAGGGGAGACGTGAGGTGGGGGAGGGGGTGCCTGCTGGTGGGGGAGGGTCGAGCCTCCTGGGACAGCTGGGCTTGAGAAGTGAATACCTACCCACACCTGCTGATTGGTCCCCCACCCCTGCAGAGGGACATCTACCGGCTAAGGGCCTCCTCCGTCCCCCTAAGCAACTAGGGTGAAGCAGGCAGCTCCCACCGGCCAGCGAGGCCCTGCTTGCCTTCTGCATCAGGGCGTCACCTCCGCCTGGGGGTAGAGCTGGGGGCCACGGATACCTCGACTCCAGGAAAGGTGGGTTCCCCCAGGTGATGTTTCTCCCACTGCCTCCACCCCATGTGCTCCCGCCACCCAGTCCTCTCCACCCACTGCTCAGGCTGGTCACGGGGATATGTCCCCCCCACTCACCGGGCCTTTGTGCATCAGGGCCATCTCGGTGGGCTGGTACACGCTGGTCAGCAGCTGCCCGTTGTACCCACTGTACGGGGACACTGGTCTCTTAGCTGCAAGGGAACACAGGATGGTCAGAGGACTGGGCTGCAACTCTGGGGAAGGCTCCCCAGTGGGCAGGTCAGGGGAGCTAGGCAGGCCCTGGGGTCACATCTCACCAGGGAGGGAGGCAGGCCAGGGTGGCCAGCTTGGGGGTGAGGCCAGGGATGTCACCCCCACCCCCACACTGGAACCCTGCGCTGCTTTTACAGATGCTCAGAGGTCATGTCTTGGCTTCTCTTGAGGTTTCCTGCCATGGGGGACACCCCCCCACAACCTGTCATCTCAGAAAAGTGCCCCATCAGCAAATTTCACATCCCCATCCGCCCTCTGGGGCCAAGAGGGGCACAAGGGCCTCGGCCGCCTTCCAAGATGGCTGGCGTCCAGCCTGGCCTCCTGGCTGTGGGCCAGCGGCCAGCACTGGGCAGGCGCAGCAGAGAGCCTCGGCCCAGGGCTCCTGCTTGTCCTCATGGTCACAGCTGGGCCCCTACACCCTGGGCCCCCCAGCCTGTGGGGGTGGCTGAACGCACGGCCTGTCTGGCCCCCGGGCCATTCCAGGAGTCAGCTCCAGGAACACTTCTCACGCCCACAGATGTGTGGGTTTCCGGCTGCTCCATCCTGCGGGGTGCCCCCAGGGTGCATGAGGAAAGCTGCTGAGCGACCCTGGGGCCCCAGAGCAGGCCTGGCCAGGCAGGAGACGCCGTGTCCTGTCTCCTTGGGGCCTTGGGGCCGAGGGACCTCAGCTATATAGGGCTTTCTAAGTGCTGGGCTCACTCGATTGATTTTTCCATTTAGAAAAAAAAAATAAAAGGAAAAAAAATAAAAGCCTCCTGGCCCCAGAAGTGTTTGCCTTGAGAGGACAAAGGCTGAGAACTATTTGGCCCCAACCAACAGGCACAGGGTGAGGGCGGGGGCGGGGTGGGGTGGGGGTGGGGGTGTGGCCCAGCGAGCAGATCAAGGATGGCATGTCTGGCCGGTGGGGATCGCTGGGTTCCCAGAGCGGGCAGGTGGGAAGCTGCCTGAAGAGGCCGATCCTGACCTTCTGACCCTGACTGCCGCAGAGGCCTGGGAGCCGGCACTTGATAGTCAAATCCCAAGTCTTAGGTCCCAAATATCTCGATCAGCAAAATCTGGGGTCAGGATCAGGGCTTTTGAGGCTATGGCCCCAGCTTTCTGGGTCTTATCTTTATCAACCAGTGGCAGAAAAAGCATGTGGCCCGGACCCAGCAGGTCACATGGGGAAAGGGTTTCACAGCGTCTGGCACACAGTAGGTGCGCAGCGCATGCGAGCAGCCCTTATGTCAGTGAGTGCCAGGGCAAGACCCGACGACCCATTAGGACCGAGGCAGGAGCTTGGGAACTTGGAGGGGGGAGGGGGCGCCGTCCTGATCGATATGTGTTGGGGTGGGGGGGGCGTGTTTTTATTTAAAAGAAAAAAAATGAGCTGGTAAAACTCTGAAAGAAAACAGAGATGACTGTGGACAGGAATACAGGACACAAGTGCTGCAGGACGGTGACAGTGACACACTCAGCAACAGCGACACTTGCAGGCGCTCCCCAAGCGCCCCCACGTGCACCGATTTAACCCACACGGGAATCTACACAACAGCGTCATCATCGTCCCCATGCCCCAGCTGAGGAAACTGAGGCTGGCAGAGGCGGCTACCAGTCAGCAGCGGGCAGTTCTGGGGCTAGAACAGGAAGAAAGGGGGGTAGAACCGAGGAGATGGGGCGGGGTGGGGGGGAATTGGTTTATATGTCATGTTCGAAATTTGACGGTGAAAACATACCCACGACTTTGGTGACTCTAAAGGGGGAAAGATCTCTTAACAGATGGAATTTAGGGACCAGGAGGTAATCTCCAGAACCTTCCAATCTGGAAGGTCAAGAGACCCCGTCCTGCCGTCAATGGCATAGAGTCAAAGGGGCTGAGGGGGGGGGTCCCCCAAGACCTACCTGCAGTCGGCTCGTCCATGGAAAACGCCTTGTTCTCCACGAACATGCTCTGGCCCTTCTGCTCCTTCAGGATGGTCTCGTAGCCCACGCCCCGGGTGGGGTACATGTCCCCCTGGTAGCTTTGCTCCGGGCTGGCCTTGGTCACCTGGGAGACCTCAGGGATGACGTAGAAGAGGACGAAGGCCCAGGCATTGGCGGCCAGAGCAATGGCCAGCGTGGGGTCGTCCCAGGTGGGGCTGTTGTGCTGCTCGTTGCCGTAGGTGTACATGACGATCCACACCACCCAGATGGCCATGGAGGTGGCCGTGGTGAGCAGCACGAAGACCCCGTGCTTCCGCCAGCGTTTGAAGCGGCCGCACAGGGCAGGCCAGGCCCCCAAGAAGGCGCCCAGGAGCAGCAGCATGACGTAGATGAGGGCCATGACGAAGTCCATGTTGGCGATGGCGCAGGGGGAGCCCAGGGCCCCACCCGCGCTGGCATTACCCAGAGCGCTGCCCTCGCCACTGCCCCGCACCAGAGTGATGATCAGCCACTCCGTGTTGATGATCACCTCCACCAGGGTCAGCAGCAGGGCCACGGCGAAGATCACCCAGCCCCGGGGCCCGTGGTTCTTCCGGGTCAGGAAGTTGAGGGCAAAGACGTGGGCCACCAGGCAGGAGAAGCAGATGGCAAAGAGGACCCCGAAGAGGAATCGCCGGGAGGCACAGGTGGCGAAGTCAGGCTTCACCACGCAGGCAAAGACCAGGCAGAAGAGACCCAGGGTGCCCAGCAGGAAGAACACCTGGGTGCCCAGGAGGCTGCGCTTCTTGGTGTCCTGCACGAAGGGGAGGCTGGCCACGAGGATGATGGTGAGAACGAAGGTGGTGACGACCCCTGCCCCGGCCACAGCCTCCAAGATGATGCCCCAGGCCTTGGAGCGGTCACACAGGTTGTAGTAGAGGGGGTTGAGGTCCGGGCTGCAGCCAGGGGGGGCAAGGTTCTGGGCCTGGGCCCGGGCCCCTGGGAGCAGGAAGAGAGGCAGTCCCAGGCATGTCAGCAAGGCTTTGCGGTTGGCCATCCCAGCTCCCGGGCCAGGCTCCTGCTGGGTCACTGGGGACAGAGGGAGCAAGGGCAAAATAAGTCCTCCAAGGCCAGACACACAAGGTGCTGCCTCCCCCCTCTACCTCCAACCAGGGCAGACAGTGCCTGCTGAGCCGCTCCTGTGCCTCCCAGCCTCAGAATCCTTAACCCTGAAGCACCGGAAGGCATATCATGGCCCAGAGAGGCAAAAGAGATGCAATTCTTTTGTCCTCCCTGCCCCTGGGTGAAGAAAGAAATGCTCACTGAATGTTCTGGTCTGTCCTCCCCACCGACCACACCCTGGGGCCAAATATTCCCAGCACTCTTGCAGCTAGGGTGGGGGACAGGGGCTCTGAGCAAATGAAAACCATGCATGTCACTTGCTCTCTGCCCAGGGGCCTCCCCAGTTTGAGAGTCCTGACCTGATGCCCTTGAACCCTGTCCCCGTGACACTGAAGTGCATGGCTCAGCAGCCACTGGCTCATTCCCTCCACGATCATTCATTCAACAAGTACTTGACAGGCAGGGCTTGCAGTCAGCAAAAAATGAAAAGTGGAGCAGGGATTCAAGTCTCAGCACCATCCAGCGATCCGCAGCCACTGGGGCACCAAGTTCCATCCCCAGCCAGGGAGCTACCCACATGGCACAGCAGACCTCTCCTGTCTCGCCCACGGCTCCCCTCAGCAGTGGATTTCAGTAGATCCAACAGTGCTCCCCACTGTCTCGGGCGGATCCTCTCACCCCTGCACCTCTGGCCTGCTCCCTAGTTCTTGTATGCATAAATAAAAGACAGTTAAAAAGTTGTATTTACCCTAACAACGACGTAAGAAAATAAATTTAAAATTTCAACGAGTTGTACTTATCCAGCTCTCTCTCCGCGATCCCTCTCCTGCGGACAACCCTGCTTTTCTGCCTGTCATTTTCCTCGTCTTGGTGCCTCCTTCTCCTCTTCCGAATCCAGACTTCTTTGTCTAGCTCAGTAGCTGGAGTCAAGGATAAAATAAACTAACTTCCCAGCTAAGGAGTTAATGACTTAATGCAAAAATTCTCCTATGAGACATTAATATTTTAATGCGAGAAGCAGGCAAGGGCAATACAGGTCTCAGAGGAATTAACTTATAATGGAAGACTCGGAGACACTGTAGCTAGAAGGCAAGAAAGCTATCTTTTATTCTCACCGGGAGGGTAACGCACTACTTCATCTACTGGCCCTACTCATTGGGCCAGCCCCTGAGAGCAGCCCAAAGAAAAGTAACTCCCTGCTCTCCACTCCAGCTGGATTTTCCCACTGTGAGGAAAGGGACAGGTCAAGAGGGATGAAAAGCCAAATCAGTGAGTGTTCCAATCTAAGACTTTAAATTTACCCGGAGCAAAACTAACGAAACATTTAAATGCGCTAAAAAGCAAACGAGGGCCTCCCTGGTTGCCCAAGGGGTTAAGCACCACACTATGAAGCAATCCACAGCCTCTGCAGCACGAGTTCCATCCTGGCCGGCCAGGGAGCTACCCACATGGCACAGCAGACCTCTCCTGGCTCGCCCGCTGCTCCCCTCAGCAGTGGATTTCAGTCAGTCTGCCTGTTCTGCTCCCCACTCTGTCTCTGGTGAATCCTCTCACCCCCCACACCTCTGGCCTGGACCCCAGCTCTTGTATGCATAAATAAAAATAAGTCTTTAAAAAAATAATAAAAAGCAAACGATAAAATCCCAAAATTCTGTGAACTGTGCACAACTCCACATTTCTATCACTCCATAGGTTCAAGCCACTCCAGCACTTTCCCCTTCAACTGCAGTTTTGCTTTCTGTGGTCAACCACAGGCCAAAAATCTTTTATAATAAGATATTTGGAGAGACCACCTAACTTTCATTATAGTATAATGATATAATTGTTCTATTTTATTGTTACCGTTGTTAATCTCTCACTGTGCCCAAGTCATAAAGTAAACTACCACAGGCCTGCATTTGATGGACCCTTAGAGAAGAAAGATTTAGGATGGAAGGTCTTTGGAGGACAAACACCAGAGGTTGGGGGTGGGCACAATTAATGAGTCTTAACCAAACCTGGATCTGGAAGGTTCCAGGAATCTGAGGTGGGGTCAGAAAAGGTTATCAGCCAGAGGTGGGGGCAGGGATCATCGATTTTAGAAGACCTACCCAATCTGATCCCAAGGCAATCATTTCCACAATAATTCCATCAAGGAGCATTATAAAAGAACACCCCTTAAAAGACAAGGCAGATCTTGGCAACGGGGTAAGCCTCAGCACTGTGAAGCTATGGGCAGCCGCTGCTGCCTGAGTTCGGATCCCAGGCCAAGGAGCTACCCACACGGCGCAGCAGACCTCTGCTGTCTCCCTGCTGCTCCCCTCAGCAGTGTATTTCAGTCAGTGTGCCTGTTCTGCTCCCGGCTCTGTCTCTGGTGACTCCTCTCACCCCTTGAACCATAGCTCTTGTATGCATAAGTAAATAAAATAAATCTTAAAAAAAAAAAAGACTCCCCGCCTGTGTCTATGCAGGCACCTCTTTCCTTGTTCTCCTTTCCTCAATAAACTTGCTGGGTATGGAATGGCAATGTCTGAATTCTTTCTCAGAGGGAACCAAGAACCCCACACACCGAACCCCATCATGTGAGCCCCAACATATGTATAGGGAAAACATTCTAAGTACTACCTATGGTTTCAGGCATCCAATGGTGGGCCTGGAAATATCCCCAAGGATGTGGGAGGCAGGGGGAACTACTGCAATTGTAACCCTGCCACTCTTCTCTCACCACTGAGGGGGAGCCCAGGTACTCCCCAAAAAGACAGCAACCAAGCCTTCCTGGGCTGATAGCGACCACTAGTCACTGGCCTGGCCGGGGAATGACATGTTCCAGCTGCTCAACCACCTTCTTCCTCGTTTTGGCGGAAGAGATTTGCTGTTTATCCTTCCTGTTTCTCCCACTCCTAGTTACTTACCTACTAAGAGGCAAACAAAAGCCCCCATGGAAACAGTCTCTAAAATTGATCCGTGAAAATGCACGGCCACTAAACCAGGAAAAACAAAACTCACCAATTAGGTGACATGGTCAATTTCAAAGAGGTTGAAATTTGAAAAGTGATCAATTTCCCCAAGATATTCTCCACGCCCCTTGGAAACACTCTAGTCTCTCAGCCGCGTCAGCTGCCCACTCCTTTTCCTGTTAAGTCCACTTTTCCCTCAAGCACCATCTGCCATCAACTCTTAATGAATTTGCATTTTCAGGTGCATTTACTATTGTTTTCTTAAATAACTGGCACAGAAACAGAACGACTTTCTCCGGACTTCCCATGCACGAGCACATTTCCCCTTCATCCCGACTTAAGCAAGTTTTTGTAGGGGACTTTGTGATTGTAAATCAATAAGGCACCAACCGTATTTACAGGTTCTGGGCCGAGAACAGAGGCCTGGGGGAAGCTCATGGGGCCGCTCTGGGGAGATAATTTATGACGACCTGCTCGGGGATCTGGGCACTCAACCCCAGGTCCAGAGTCTGTGGCTCACACCAAAGCAGTCAGAACTTGGGGTGAAGTCGGGGATGAGGAGCAGAACCCTCGGAGGGGCCACGCACACTGAGCCTCTAGGTTCTCAGCGGCCGCCCTCAGCCAAGTGCCAGTTTAGAGCTGGCAATTATCCCAAATCAGCAAATATTTACTGTGCACCCAGGGGGACAGGCGCGGGTGTTCTCAGAGTTATGGAAAATACAAAGTGGAACAAACACAGTGCCAGACTTGATAGTGTTTAAATCTAACAGGGGAGACAAAGTGGACAGAGGAGAAAATTACACTAGGAAGAAGCCATGTGCCACACCACAAAATTCACCTCTGGAGCAGAGACATGTGTGTCAGGAACAGAGGGGGAAGGGCCTCCAGGGCAGGGGATCAGGCGAGACGGGGTCGAGCGCTTTCACCAGCATTTCATTCAATTTTTAATAAAACGCATTTAATAAAACGCACTACAGTGTTAAATAAAATGCACGCAAAAGAGCTACGCCTTGAAGAATGAGCAGGTGAAGGGGGCAGGGAGAGGCCAAAAAGATGCATAAATAAAAGGCCGGAGATGAGCTCAAATTCAGAGCAAAGAGAAAAAGTCAAGTTCACCCAAGTATGAACCGAGTTTGTAAAAAGGGAGGTCGCAGCTGGCTGGCCACGGATTAGAGACCCTACAGGGAAGACCTAGGAGGCATTTTCCCACAGGCAATGGGGAGCCCCTGCCCGATGGGGGCGTAACCAGGGCTCTACTTTCAGATGAGAGTCTGGCAAAAAGCACAGGCGATGCACCGGCTGAGGACACAACGCGTCCCGTGGCTCACTGTGGCGTGAAGCCCACCGCCCCAGGAAGAGCCGTCATGGCCGGACCTGAGAGGCCCTTTTCAAAAAAATTCTAAGGACTGCGTGGATGTGGGGGGACAGGATGCTAAGACCACACAAGTCCAGCTCATGACAAAAACCCGAGCCTGGTCCCACTGGGCCCTGCGGCCCTTAAGCCACTCATTCTTGATCCATCTTGCGCCTCGATCCAAACCTATGCCCTGCCAGAATCCAGCACCTCACCGGCACTGGGCCAGAGACGCTTCCCCTGCCCTCACCCCAGTTTATCCTGACTTTGTTTATGGCCAAAGGGCTTCTTTCTGGCCCTCACCCTCCGGCTGCACCGCCGTGGGCCCTCCAATGCGGGAACTTCCGACGGGAACCTGTCCCTGCCTCTCCCCTTTGGCCCCGCACCCGGTGCCCGGCGGCCCTGGAGTTTACCAGCCCCACACGAAACAGACTATTCCCACCTGGAAATGTCCCGTTTGTCCCGTTGCCCTGAAAATGGAAGGGTGAGTGGGGAGACAGGGCGGGAGGCCCTCCGATGGGGAAACTGGGCCAGTCTGCCTGGCTCTGCTCCACCGCCCGGGACAGTGACCCCTGGAGGCCAGCAGCAGAGAAAGGGAAGGCGGCGCAGAAGACCTCAGCCGCCACCCCACAGCCAGCACAGCCTCCATCCCAGCAGGCACAGGCGCAAAAGGACTCGGTGCTGGACTCCAGACCTGCCTCTGTCCACATGGAGTCGCAGCTTCCGCTGGAAGGTCCTCAGAGGGGCTGGGGGGGACCTTCTCCCCGCCCCACGTTCCCCCACACTGTGGCTGAGCCGCCTTGGCATCAGTTTATTTTCTAAACAAAAGTCCTGGGTTTGCTCACCTCCCTCAATCAGTCATGCAAATAGTTTTAATCACCTCTGAAGTTGGCCTCTCCCCAGGCTCAGGGGCTCCGGGCTCAGCTACCCACCCCCTACCCCCCCAACCCCCGCTGTTCTGGATCAGCCCTTCCAGGTCCAGTGTCCCCTTTCTGTCTTTCCCTCCACAGGGGGAGCAAAGAGGCCTCCCAGTGCAGGGGGGCTCACAGGTCCTGCCTCACCCCGCAAGGATAAGGAGTAGTGACTATTCATTCACCTTCCAGAGAAATCCCCTTCCTCATACACACCCCCATCTGTACAAAACCCTGAGAACCCCACTGAACAGCGAGCACCCTGGGTTTCCCACAGATGCCCTGGTCCGTCTCCCTGATTCAAGCGCACAGAGTAAGATAATGGCCCAAGGCCGGTCAGTGTTACCTTCCAGGGTGCCATGACCTAGGGAGCCTGCTTTGGGAGGCACCTGTGCTCCCCATGGGTGCCACAGAGCATCCGCCTTGCTCCCCATCTCCTCCGCCAGGGCTCCTCAGTCTATCAGGAGAGATGGACAGACAGGACAGCCTCCCCCTTCTCACCTTCAGCTCTGTCCCAGGGGTCTGGCATTTAAGTCATAAGCGCTCCAGGAGAGGCCTGCGCCTTAGGAGTTATCTCTGCGTCTGGACGGGGTCTGGAGCACTTCCCGGCTCCTGCCCAAACCTCCACAGCCAAAGTGGCCGGTGGACATTTGGGCCAAAGTCCCCTGAGCACCCTGAAGCCTCCCCCAGGGGCTGTTGGGGACGACCCCCTGGAAAGCAGCCTCACATGGCCCTGGAGGGAGGCACCTCCAGGAGCACAAAGCCCTATTCTGGCCCCTACACTTCAAGATCGAGATGAGAGAATGTCCAGGCACTGGGTTTTCCTGGGTGTAAATATGCGGGTCTGGGGACGGAGGGAGCTCATTCTCAACCTCGGTGGCCGGACAGGGCGCAGGAAACTGGGGGGCGGAGGGGCGGGGGCCTGGGGGAGTGGGGATCGCCACAGCATCCAGAAGTGGCGCCGCTGTAACTTCTGAAATTCCAAACTTCCCGCAGAGGGGTTCTGCGTGCGCCCCTTCCCACTCCCCCCCTACTGGGGTCTCCATCCCCCGCCCAGGGACGTCGGAACACAGGGTTCGGGGGGCGGCGCAGCATTGCTTCCCCATTTCTTCGGGTCACGGAAACCTGTCTTCCGCGTCTAACCGTAACGGGCAGATGGGGGGCCGGGGACACCCCTCGGCGACCCTGGTGGTGTTCTCTCCCCGCCCCCCACCCGGAGCCACAAGGCCGGCCAGCGCACCCCGTACCCCGCCGGCCGGGGCTTGGAAACTTTCTGCCACCGGAGTTGGCGCGGCGACCCCCGCCCGCTCCGCACCCGCCCGCCCCGGCCCGCCCCGGCCCGCTCCGCGCCGGCCGGCCCAGCTCCGGGCGCCGGGGCGCAGCGCGGGGCGCAGCCCTTACCTGGACGCGCCGCCGGCCGGGCTCAGCGCGGCGCCCGGGCCAACTCCAGCCGCGGGCGCGCGGGCGGAGGGAGGAGGGAGGAGGGAGGAGGGAGGAGGGGCTCGCGCAGGCCCGGCCCGGGCGGGGTGGCGGGACCGGGGGGGGGGTTTGGGGGGGTAGGGGGGGCCGGGACGCGGGGCCTCCTCTCCCGGCCGCGGGCTGGGCTGCCGGCTCCGCCGCTGCTGCGCTGCCCCGCGCCCCGCGCTCGGCTCTTTTCTGCGCGCGGGGCGGGCGGCGCCGGCACCGCCGTGACATCACCGCGGGGCTTATCGGCCCCGGCGCGCGCCAGGTAGGAGCCGCCCGGCCCCGAGCCCGCCCGCGCCCCGCCCCCCCCCCCCCCGGCTCACCTCCGCGCCCCGCGCCCGCCGCCCCCGCCCGGCCGCCCGCGGAGTGCCCGGCGCGCTGGCCAGGGGGCCGGTGCCGGCCCCGCCACGCCCCCGCGCCGCGCGCCCGAGCGCGCCCTCCCCCGCGGCTGGGGCGCTCCCCCGGCGAGTCCCCGCGGCGCCCCCGGCCGGCTCTCCCGCGCCCCGGGTCGCACGCTCGGGCGCCCCCTCCCCCGCTGCACACGTGGACGCGCCGGCCGCGGAGGGTCCGCCCCGGCCCCGGGGCGCGTGGGAACGCGCGGGCCGTCGGGCACGGCACCCCGGACCCGCACCTGGGTGTCCTGCGGCCGCCCGGGCGCGCGCAGCTCCGAGCGGCCCCGTCCCCGCCCCGACTCGCCCTAATTAGCCTCCGCGGTGCTGCTCCCCGGGGGACGGCGTCTCCCGGCCCCCGCGGCCCCGACTCCGAGGCGGGCCCCGCCACCTCCGGGCGCACTTTCCCCGAGTTGGGCGCCCCCCTTCCTCCGCGCCCCGCCCCCACCCTGCCCGGGGCGGGCCCGCGGGCGGCCGCCTTCCCCGGCCCGGCCCGGCGGGGGGAGCCGCGGAGAGAGGCGCGATCCGGGCGCGGAAACTCCAGCCAGTAAACACCGGCTCCCCGGCCGGCTCCCGGGTGCGCGGCGCGCGGCGCCCGGCGGGGCCTAGTTAGCGGCGCCCGCGGCCCGGAGGGGCAGCGGCGCCCGCGAGGGGAGGGGAGGGGCGGGGAGGGGCGGCCGGGCCTGGCCCGCGCCCGGGGGACGCCGCGGGGGGCGGCGCGGGTCCCCGGGGCGCGGCGCCGAGGTGCCCGGGGATCGCCGGCGGCGCGCTCGGAGCGGGGCGCTTGGCTCAGCGCGGGGGCGGGGAGGGGGGGCGCAGCGGGCCGCGGACCGAGGGGCAGCAAAGTGGGGGGAGGGCTCGGGAGAGGGAGGGGGCCCAGCGGGCTGCTCGTCTGCGAGCCTCGGGCGGTGACAACCGGGAACCAAACTCCGTGAATCACTCGGAGCCGCCGGAGCGAGACGCCTCGGCCGGCTCCTCCCTTTGCGCCCCAGCTTCTCGGGCTCCGGCAGGGAAAGTCTGCTCGGGCCGGCTGCGGGGCCCCGGCCTTCCAGACCCGGTACCCCCGCCTGCACCTGGGCCCCGCTCGCCATCTGGGAGTGTGGCGACGTCTGGGCTGCCTCGTTCTTGTAAATATTAGGAAAAGCGCATTTCGCTGCCAGGCGCTCCTGATTCCTGCTCTCGCACCCCTCACTGCACCTCCCACCCGACTCCGGGCTCCTGCTATAGGGTGTGCGCACGCTCTTAAGGTCCAGCCCGTTGCTGCCCATGCTGGCGGCCCGGGAGAGACTGGTCAGGCCTACCTGGGCAGATGCGCCCCGACCTCTAGCTAGTTTTCGTCTCCCGGTCACTGATGCTGAAGTCCGCGGTACTGACCCTCATTAACACAGAGATAAGGCAGCCAGCACGTGGGGTGGGTGGTCTGGCCAGAGAAACAGACGTGCACCCTCCAGGAGCCAGGAGGAGTTGTGGTTCCAGCCCACCCACTCAATTTGCTTTCAAGCTTGGGGGACCTACACCCTTTCCTCCTACAGAGGCCCCTTCCAAGAGGCAGTTCTTCACCCCCCTCCAGACTCCTGAGGTTGGGGTATCTGGCGCCTGACCTCGCCCACTGGAGTCTTTGGAAAGAGGCCTGGACACACAGAGGTGGCCGGCCTGCCCTCAGCCAGCCTGGTGCGGTGGGGAGCAGGAATGTAGGGCGGTTTCTGAGAACTGTTTGCTTTGCCTGTTCACCCCATCTCGCTCTGAAACAGGGTTTGCCTTCAAAACAAAGCAAGGCCCTTGGGACAGCCCTTGGGACAGGTGACCTGTCTCCAGGTCCCTGCTGCCCTGTGCTTGTGGCTCCTGGAGTCTGGGCTCCATCAGGGTAGGGAGATTGGAGGGGGTGGTCAGGAGGGCCCCCCCACCCTCAGGGATCCTGCCATGGTGGGTGCCTTTGGACTCATCAGACCTGCAGAGGCTAGAAGGGAAGCTTTGAGGGGGGTGCCCTTGCTTTCCAAGATGCCAGCCACAGGACCACGGCGCCCCCAAATGCCCTTCATCCAATGTAATGACCTATTGGCATTTAACCCTATATCAACACCCATGTCACTGGCGACACTTTGAGAAGCGGTCCCAGTGGGCACTGCTCACCCCCTGTTGAAAGAGGTCCCTTGGAGGACTGTGCCTATATCCCTCCCCACCCCAATATGGCGCCAGGATTCCTACAAACCAGTCGAAACTGCTTTTATTCAATGGAACACTTCCTTGGGGCTGCAGGTGTCTCGGTAATGACAAGACCCAGGGCCTGGGCTTGGGAGCAGCTCTGCCACCTGCCAGTCACCCCACCTCTCCGAGCCCAACTTGCTTCTAAGTCTTGCTGAAACATCTAGAATGTTCCTCATACAAGCCTGGCACTTACAGGTGCTCAGTGGCCAGCCTCTGCTTTCCTGGTCCACCCCCTCTGAGCCTCAGTCCTGTCACTCAAAGAGGCCTGGCAGTTTTTACCCCAAACTCTCGTGCAAGCTGCTTCTGACATTCTTTCCATTCCTCGTGGCTGTGATTGCCAGGCCTCCCTCTGGGCCTTCTCCTTGCTCTTCCTTCTACCTCCAGCATCCTGTTCCCCCTGCCCCCCTCTCTCCATCTGACCAAAAATGTTTAAAATCTGCCTTGCCGCTCAGCTCCACGCCAGGCTGTCTCCCAGGCTTTCCTGCCATCCCCAGAAAGAAGCCTGTGGGCTGCGCC